GGTACGACTCGAACTTATGTTCCTCTTATTATTTAGTCCCGAAGCTTTAGTCCCTCATGTCTCTATTGTCTCATTTTCATCCCTCAACCCTACAGTTCATCTCATTTAGTACTTGGGTGTATAACTTGGTAAACTTTACCGAAATCTTTTAATTAATAGATGGAATATTCTATCTTTATAATTATTTTTAATAAACAGTAAATAAAATAAGAACAATAGAAGAACATATATAATCGAACTAGTTCTTTAAATATTAACATAAAATCATAAAAAATATAAGTAAATTAAAATAAAGAATATATGTAGATGATATGTCATAATCATTTGATACGTTCCTAAATGCAACTTATATCAACAAAATAAATTCAAACGATTATTTGCATATTAATATCAATTAATATGTTGTGTAATTTTTGAAGTTCTATATTTATAAATTATACTTTTCTTGCTTGTGAATAATATTTTAAAATTATAAAATTGATTATTTATACATAATTTATCAAAAATAATTAACAATGGAATATTCCATCCAATCTTAAAGAGATTCCGTTAAATTTAACAAATTTATACACAAATGGACTGTAAGGAGACGACTCGTAACATTGAGGAATGAAAATGAAACAATAGAGACATGAAGGACTAAAGCGGGACTAAATAATAAGATGAGGGACTATTAAGGAGATATGGCCAAGATTTATATATATATATATATATATATATATATATATATATATATATATATATATATATATATATATATATATATATATATATATATATTTATATATACATATATATATATATATAAAAAAATATGTGGATCTATGCCCACATAGATTGACATGTGGCAAATGATGATGTCATTTATCAAAATTGCTTAGTTGGAGTTCAATTGATGAGGTGGATTCTTCAATTGGTGAGTTGTCAATTTTATTTTGGTATGTATTTAAGTTATTTCCTATTTAACATTTATACACTCATTTAAACAATTACCACATGTATATATATTATTTCCAAAGTTAATATTTTATAAATTCGAAATAAAAAAAAATCTTATTTATATTTTCAGTATTTCAAAATACATTTATTGAAATAATTTTCAGAAAGAAATATTTTTTTTAATATTAAAATATTAAAATAAAGGAATACAATTGTTTTTTCTTTGAATTTTCAATATTTTGAAATATTCGAATATCCATTCAATAAAAAAAATTATAATTTTTTATTTTATTTTTTAATTGTCCTATTTAATAAATGATTATTTAGTTGTGCTTATTAAATGATTAGTTGTGTGCTATATTAAGTAATGTTTTAAGTTTATTTTAATTTTAAATTTCCACGTGCATGCAAACCTATATATACAAATATACATTTATTTGTTATTATTGAATTGATATTTGGTAAACATAATATTTCGTTTTTCTTTCTAAAATACCACTCCAAATTTAAATCAATTAACCGGATGTGTATTAAATTTGTCAATCATTTCTATAGATTAAGAGTATATTTATCCATATTTATAGATTATTACCAATCCTACATAACACGTGTAGGTACGTATCAAGGGTGAAAATTTATTCCATATTTTTAATTAATTGTTTCGATATAGTTCTTATATTTACACACGCATAATTAATACTTATTTGAAGGATTTTTTAATTCTTTTACTTTTACTCAAAATTCTATTTCCTACAACTTTTATTTTAAATTTACTGGATTTTTAATTATTTTCCAAAAAAAATTAAAATTTTCCCCAAATTTGTGAAATTAAAATCATTTAATTTTGGAAACCGAATGATTTCTTCTGGATTATCCTTCACTTTTAAACATATTAAAATTCATAAATGTGCCCTTTATTTTGTCATTAATGTTTTTAATATTATTACCATATTGAATTTATTTTCTCTTTTTTCATCATCTAACCACAAGTATATAAACCCCTCCATCCTGACTTCATTTCTCCACTAACTTTCGCCCGAACAAAACGTACGCATTTATTGTTCGAATGTATTTTTTTCGTTTTTGTATATTTCTTTTCATTTATAAAAAAATAAATTTTATTTTTCCCATCTTGAAAACGGTAAAGCATGTACTATTGTTGTTTTCTAATGATCATATTCATTTTTTAATGAATTTTGTATATTGCATAGAATTAATATATTGAATTTTATGTTTTATTTTTTATTTTTTGTTATCATCTTTATTGTTGTTCTACCATTCCGATTTTATTATACCTTCTTTCGCAGTCAATTATTGTTGTTTGTAGCAATAAATTTCTCATTAGATATTAAAATTGTATAAAGATCATGGTTTATGTTCTTCTCACTATTCGTCCTGTTTAAATATGTAATTTTAATAATTGTTTTTTTAATTAAATTATTTATTATTCTAATTTTTTTTAGTATTTTATTTGATTTGTAATATAAATTGTTATACATATATTTTTAATATATCTTTAAATTACAAAATAACATTATTTTCTAACATTTTAATTTTCATTATTAATTATGTATGTCACTTTTATATTAATTTAAATTTCATAATCCGAAATAATAATTACACTACATTTGAATTTTGAAAATATGAACTTTTGGATTTCAAATTTCTAAAGTTTCAAGTTTCAAAATGTTCTTTACCGTATAGAAATTGCTAATTAACTACCCGATATTATGTTATATAATTTTATTTATGACCTATATATATAAATTGATTGATTTTAATTGTATGACTCATTACGGAAAATATTTAATCAAAAATAAAGATTGTTTAATATTCTTGAAATCAATACCATATATAATAAGTTAAATCATCTATATTAACTGAATTAAATCATAAATGGTGACTAATTATTATTAATCATTGTAATTGTAAACATACCTTAAAGGTAGGTATAAATCCCCCTTTATAACTCATTTCACCACAATCATATTCTACATCCAATTTTTCCATCGAATAGAAACAGTAAAAAGGCCTGCACAATAATTAAAATAAATTCGGAATTTCGTATGAACATGTATAAAATTCTACATCCACCACCTATACCACCCCCATCCCAAGCTACTTTGATTACCAAGGTTCTCCTCACACGTAGTTGGAAATCGTTATACGTATCGAATGTGATGTTGATTGGCAATACAAATTTATTTATGTTTGAGATTAATCTAAACTCACCTAAATATGGGTAAACAATTTCTATAATACATGTTTTGTTAGAACTACTAGATAAAAGATTTAAAAAATGGGTAGATGATTTTCTTAATAGTAAACTAATAATTTTTTTTTAAGTTATTGTCTGGGGAATTCTGTGTATTGGACTATGTGAATTCATTTAACTAATCGAAACCCATTTAATTTATGATAAATAATTTTTGAAACACCTTTCGTTACAACAAGATACATGATTCAAAACATGGGTGAATATAGTGGTAAAATAACAATTTTATTTTTTTTAAGCTATAGGTTTGTGAATTACGTGTGGTAGTATTTTATCATACTGAAAAAACTAAATACGCTTAAATTTGGATAAATAGTTTAAATACTTATTTCGTTGCCACAGCTAGATAAACGATTTAAAGAACTGGGTAAACAACAATTTAATAAAGGTACAACAATTAAAAAAAATGAACATATTGTTTCTTGAATTATGTGCGTTGAACTATTTTAATCACTTTGACTAATTAACCCATTTCTTAGTTGCAAGATTATATCTGACATAAATATCGGTGATAGAATTTTCATTCCTCGGATGAGGTTAGTCCCATCGAACTCCACTTTGCCCACTAAGTTCCAGAGGCGATAATTTTCTTTGATGGTTTCATTTGAAATGAGGATCAAACACTTTTGCGCGTTGATTCATATCTTCCTAGATATGTATTCAGTCACGGTCAATTGTATGTTTCACTCTCAATAATCATGAGTGGATATAGCATAAAAATCCTAATAAAATCGGAATCCGATGGATTGTCAAGTATTACCAGCAACGTCGTAAGAGTATCAATATGAGTATCACTATCAGTATATGTATTAGTATTAATATTAGTATTTGCAAGTTTTAGTATTAGTATCCGTGTTAGTCAGTATGAGTATCAATATGAGTATGAGTGTTAATATGAGTAGGAGTACGCGTATAAGTATCGTATTAGTATTAGTATTAGTATTATAATTAATATTAGTTTTATTAATAACATTAACATTCACATTAGTATTACATTATTACTAGCGTTGTCATTAGTATTAATATTAGTATGAATATCAATATTAGTTTCGTAATTAGTATCAGTATGAGTATCACATGGAGAATTAAAAAATAAGGTACTATAAGCATCAATATTAGATTGAGTATGAGTATGGGTATCAGTATCACTATAAGTATCAGTACCATTACCAGTATCAATATCAGTATCAGTATGAATATCAACTTTGAGTATCAATATTACTATCAGTTTTAGTAACAAACTTAGTATAAGTAATAATATTTGTATTAATGTAAGTATCAGTATTAGTATTAATATTAGTGTCAATATCAGTATCATTATGAGTATCAATATCAATATGTGTATCAATATTGTAACACCCCACCTTTCCAAAACCCGAAAATCCTAAAACCCGGGATTAATATCCCCAACTCGAGAAACCCTTACGAAATATTATTACGTGATTATATGCATTACGTGAATTTAACTATACTATTTACGTGAATAATTACATGTGTTATTACATGTGTGATCTATATGATTTAATTTCCGTAAATTGAATCCTAGGATTTCGTACATTACGTGAATTAT